CAACATTCCGAGGCTTCAAAACCTCGATCTCTCTAACAATTCTTTCGATGGACCAATCCCCGATGAATTGAAGAATTGCAAGCAATTGCAGCGTTTGATACTCTCTAGAAATCAATTTGAAGGAGAAATTCCTTCTGGTGTGTGGTCCGGGATGGATAATTTACGGCAACTCGACCTCTCATCGAACGATTTCAGTGGACCGATTCCGGAGGATTTGGGGGAACTGACGACACTTTCCGGTACGCTTAACCTGTCCTTCAATCATTTATCAGGAAAAATTCCGAAGATGCTAGGAGATTTGCCGGTGACGGTTAGTTTCGACCTCCGGAGCAACAATTTGAGTGGAAGCATACCTCAGACTGGTTCTTTTGCAAATCAGGGACCAACTGCATTTCTCAACAATCCTAAGTTGTGCGGATTTCCTCTTCAGAAATCCTGTGGGAGTTCAGAGCGTGGCTCACCGGGAAATCCGGCTTCTAGGCCTTCGTACAATGCCCCTGGAAAAGGCTTGGGCGCCGGATTAATCATTTTCATCTCTGCCGCCGATGCCGCCGGAGTGGCGTTTATCGGCCTGGTAATAGTATACATATATTGGCGAAGTAAAGACAATCCGAACGGCTGTAGTTGTACGTCCAAAGGAAAACTCGGAGGGAACCAGAAAAACGATCTATGCAATTTTCCTTGTATGAATGGACATGATAAGAACGAGGAGTCCGAAATGGAGGAACAGGAGAACAGTGATGGAAACAGAGAAGAGGGAGGGCTTGTGGCCATAGACAAAGGCTTTACGTTCGAGCTGGACGAGCTGCTGAGAGCATCGGCCTATGTGCTGGGAAAGAGTGGATTGGGGATTGTGTACAAAGTGGTGCTCGGAAATGGGATTCCGGTGGCCGTACGGCGGCTGGGCGAAGGCGGAGAACAGAGGTATAAGGAGTTCGCGGCGGAGGTGCAGGCCATTGGAAGGGTAAAACATCCCAATATTGTGAAACTGAGAGCTTATTACTGGGCGCCAGATGAGAAGCTCCTGATCAGTGATTTTATCTCCAATGGAAACTTGGCCTCTGCACTTCGCGGTACGTTCAATTATTCCTTTCCACTCGATTACCTGATTGTTCTTGTTTTTCTGTTCTGGGATTGCTTTTATTTTCACAATCTTCCTGATTGTTCTTCTTTCTCTGTACTGGGATTGCTTTTATTTTCACAATCTCCATGATGTCGTAGCTAGAATTCAGGTCTCTACGTCACAGAATACCAGTAATTAGTTATTACATTAGTGGGCTAACTTTCCTACCCCTGGTAGCTTTTGGACATATGGGTTCCACTCAGCTGACCGTTCATCAATGATCTTTTCGGCGGCCGTAGACACAATTAATGCAAGTTCTTTTTTAACATTTATCTGGGTGGAGTGGGGGAGAAAATTCCCATATTGGATAATTGTCTTTTAGTTTTGGGTCGGTACTTGAAGGGGTGTAGTTTTGGCACAATGGTTGGTGCCTAATGTCATTGCCAAGCGTGGGATCCAACAACGGCTGTCCCCGCGCTGTGCCCACTGCACTTTCCACGTAGCCTTGGATTGTGGGCGCTGCTCCTTTGGCATTCTTAGGCCATGAGTCTAGTAATCAACCAGTCAACTCTTTTCCTCTTCCCAATTAGGTCATTTCAAGTGACTTAAAAATAGTTGGTTGGATAAGTTTGAAATGTATTAGTCTTACTTGGAATTATAAGGATTGGTTTTGTTTGGTTTAATTTTTCTAGACTTGAATGATTCAATTCAGTTTTCAAATTTATTGGGTAAAACTTTGGATGGACCTAAATCGAACAAAAATTTATTATATATATTAAGATATTATACGTATTCATGGATATGCTATTGAGGGGCTTATATACAACTTTTATATTATAGTATCTTTTTATTTTTCTTAAAACTATTGCAATCTTTGAGGCTGGTTGTTGACGTCAAAGAATTTGTTTTTTAAATTATTATAGATTTATTTGTATTTGTTTATGTCATATTTATCCCTGGTTATGAATTTTGGACAATATATATATTTTTTAGCAATGGTTGGGTTACTAATCCGACTAACCCAAACTTTTGGATTGGTCCAAAAGATTCCCTAAACTCAACCCCTTTTGGATTGTAGACCTTATGACCTCTATGACATTTCTGCCACCTCTTCTCGTATTTGTCTGATAATCAAAGAAACTCCAAGACCTACGGGTCAAAGCTTCAACTTCTGTGCACCTAATGCACGATGGAATAGAAGGAAGGTTCTTTGCTTTGCGAGAGAGTGACTCATCCTGTGTCCGATAAAAGTAGCTTCTTCTTAGAAAGTGAGAAAGTTATAATCAAATAAGATCGAGGGCAATCCCTCTTGTATTCATTAATCGAAACGGATACAAGTAGTTTATACCCTAAGCTTTACTACCCACCATTGTTCATGATTCCTATTTGAAAAAATATACTCATATTATCATTTGGGCTCTGACTACGGAGAAAACAAGAAACAGGCTCTTAGCTTTTGGAAATTGGAACTGATGTGACGCATTCCTGATGTCAACCAAACAGGGAGAAACGGGCAGCCATCTTCAACCCTTTCATGGTCAACCAGACTACGAATTGCCAAAGGAACTGCAAGGGGATTGGCTTATCTCCACGAGTGCAGTCCAAGAAAGTTCGTCCATGGCGACATCAAGCCCTCCAACATTCTCCTCGACAACGAATTCCGCCCCCACATCTCCGACTTCGGCCTCAACAGATTGATCACCATCACCGGCAACAATCCCTCCTCCTCTGGCGGCCTCATCGGCGGCGCCTTCTCCTATCTCAAATCCGCCCCAACCGACCGCAACAACAACTACTGCGCGCCGGAGGCTCGAGCTCCCGGCGGCCGCCCTACCCAAAAATGGGACGTCTATTCCTTCGGTGTCATGGTCCTCGAATTGCTCACCGGAAAGCCGCCGGAGATTTCTCCGAACGGGTCGAGTTCTTTGGAGATTCCGGATTTGGTTAGGTGGGTCAGGCAAGGGTTTGAAGAAGCTAAGCCGTTGTCGAATTTGGTTGACCCTTCTCTTCTACAAGAAGTACATGCCAAGAAAGAGGTGCTTGCTGTATTCCACGTGGCGCTCGCCTGTACAGAGAGTGACCCGGAAGTTCGGCCCAGAATGAAAACGGTGTCGGAGAGTTTCGACAGGATTGGATGATGAGAAATGATTGTGGGTTATGAAGGTGGCCGCCATTGTTGTACCAGTCAAGCTATTCCTGTAATTTCTTGCAGGAACCCATCATTTTTTTGGTCAGCTTTAGTGAAGAGTTTGCTAACAAGGCAAGCAAGATTCAGGTTGGGCCCGATTTTTTCTTTTTCTTTTTTGATTTTGTAATTGTTGTTCTTCCCCTTCTTCTCTGATCTTTGTGGAATAATTTTTTTTCGTTTTATATTTTGCAGTAATGAATGAGGAAAGTAGAAATTTATGCTCTGTGGTTTGAAAATTTTCTAACAATAGATGAACATTCTCTCATGGCTTTGCAGGTTTCTCCAAAAAAAAAAAAAAAAAACCTCATGATCAATTCTCTAAATCTATCGAGCTTGACTCTTTTTTCTTTTGAAGTCTGTCAAGAGATAGTATTCTTTTATTATAAACCTTCACTCGCTCCCCTAAATGCCTTATATCAATGGAGACGGTATTCTTTAATTATAAATCCATAATCATTCTCTAAAATTAACCGTGAAACTTTCATCCAACAGAAATAATATGGTCGACACAGACATGTTCTTCATTCTTTTGGTTTTTGGTTTGGCTTGATTTCGATTATCAAAGTCATGAGGGATACAATTCTATTTCTAAATGTAATGTGTTCAAAATGAAAAATAAACATAATTATATAAAATTCTATATAATTTAAATTACAAAAATATCATGAGAAGAATTGTAAAAAAAAAAAAAAAAAGGTTCCAAACAAATTAAGTAACAAAAAAAGTAATAATTTTTAAAAGCTTTTGCGGTTGATAAAACATAAATGGATTTAAAAAGCATTTTATAAAAATTGTCAACTACACCAGCCAAATTCACTTAACCGTTCCTGCAAGTCAACCTGATTCAGTAATTACAGCTTTAACCATTCAACAGTCAATTTACATTCTCCAATAATATATTCTTTTTCAAATTTAGGTAAAATTTTGAAGGCTAAGAATAAGATTGCTTTTACAATATATATATATATATATAGCTTGAAATTCAGAATGGTTTTTATGAAAGGTAAACAATACACCATACTAAAACAAACCTAATTTTAAGAAATAGAAAATTATAAATAAAAACATTATCCAATGAGTCAAGACAACTTTATTTTTAAAATTTTGATTTTGAAATAATGCTTAAAAACAAAAGTAAATTTTTTAACACAGTGCAGAGAACATAATTTCATCATTCAAAGTCTCAAAACTTAATAATATTACATCTCCCTTTCTCTATAACACCTGTTTCTCTAGCATAACCCCCTCCACCTTCTTCCTTACCTCACTCCAATCTCTAATATTTCTCTGCAACTTTCACCAGTTTTAATAACAAAAACCGACACCTAATATGTATACTAAATAAATCTGGTAGATGGAATCATATTGAATATTTGACAAGAGATTCCGTAACTTGCTAAAAAACCCAAACCTTGTTTACCAGCCACATTGTCTAACCAAATCCAATTCTCTTGATATGTTCCTTGAAAAATCCGATTCGTGCAGAATCATCTCCCAACTAAAGAGAAGATATCTGGGCAGAATTGCCACCTATGAAGTTGAGCACTTACCGAGGCATTTCATGATATTACATCTCTAAATTTTGCCCCAAACCTTTTCGTCTAGTTTGTGGCCTCCTAATAAATTTCAATGGGATGTCATATCTATTATCTAACCTTTTCACAAATATACCTGACCTTGAGGGGTTGGTTACTCAAGATAAGCATATCTAACTACAAACTATACAAAACTTAAATTTAAGAAGCCACATTTCTTCTTCCTAGCATAAGCTTTTATAATAAAGAGGTATATCATCCAAATGCCAATATTTTAAAGGTTTTTCATGAATCCAATACCTTGCTGATGTCGACTACGCTAAGCGACCAACATAGCAACTGTTCACGCTGCCTTATCACTCAATTACAGTTCATCCCTTAACCCTGCAACGAATCAAAATCGAATAGGTATTAAACATTTCAAATTGACCACATCTTAACGAAGTACTAACTAACCCAGGCTCTCTGAAGAGATGTCAGCCAGCACTAGATGAATAACTTGGGCAGCATATAAAACATTTGAAATCAGATTTTAATTTTTCCTTTTGGAAAAATCAAGGCAAATATATCAATAACAAACAGAAAATCGGATAGAAATGTGAACTCAATTCCTTTTAACTCAAATCATCTATCATCTCTTTGTCTTCAGCCATTATAATTTCCATGTCTCTAACATCTCGCTTTAAAACAGTTCCAAGTCTAGCAATGGCCTCGGTCTGCTGCTGCAATACCTGGCACACGACATGTAGATGATGTTGGTTAATAAATCAGACAATAAAATAACTGCATTTAACAAAATTCTCACTAACAAATCATTATACCACATTTTTCTTTTATTTTTGAAAGACTGTCAACACAATTTTGGTAAGCCTCATTATGTTTATTTTCAGCAAAACTTCGAGTGAAAAAGCAGACTCCAAACACATATACGCACCTCCTGCATATCAACAAGACTCTGTTCGTGTATTTTTGTCGAACCTTGAAGATAGATAGAATTACCAGCACCAGAGCCATTTGCTTGACCACAAGTAATTGTAAGCAAATTTTTCACCCTCCTCGAAAGCTCTGCTCCAGATCCTCTCAACTGAAACATGTCCAAGAATCTCATTACGATAAACAACTTTTTGGGTAAGTAACATATTTTCCCCTGGTTAAAATTTTAATTCTAGTTTATCCCCCCATTGACTTGATAAAGAAGAAGACAACTTGCCTTCCTACATGGAAACTAAATTCATTTTTAAGGTATATTATAATGGTAGACAAGAATATCATATTATAGTAACATTAAAAGGCAATAAAAGATAATGTAAATACGATGTTCTTTAGAAAGAAAATTAAAGCACTGATTCTAAATTTCAGTCTGTTTCTTTTTGCAGAATGATAATTGAAAATTTTATCAAGTTATTTAAATTTTGCAATAATTTACATGTTTAACAATGAGGATAAAGTTGAATTTGATTCAACTAGATGGAAATGTCCTACGAATTCCCTGCAAGGATATTTTCAGTTTTTGAAATTGAGGTAAAAGGGGGGGAAGGATACCTACCTGTCTCGTTATCAAAGCTAACTTCTCAGCCAATTCAGCCTCCCCTGTCATTATAGGCACTCGGCAACCCTTACTTTCTAGCGCCTCCACAATTCTCATCATCTTTAATCGAACAAAAGGGAAAATATAAAATAGAAGCACTTTGGCATCAGGAGCATTATGAACATTTTGTGTGTGTGTGTTGGGTGGGGCGGAGGGAAGGAAAACATGAAGATCACATCCATATCATTCTTTTTTCTTTTTAGCCCACTGATTATAAAAAATAATACATACTCTCAAAAGACGCCTTTGAAGACCTTGCTCCTTCTGTTTCAATCTTTGGACCCAAGGTAGAGTATCAGCTAGAAAATGCCTCTGAAGCTGTATAAAGCAATCATTAATTAAAAAAAAAAAAAAAAAAAAAAATTAAAAAATTTTATCCTCAAGGAAGCATCAGATTACCGTTTTGACATTGCTTTGGGTCATCCGCAGTCTCTCAGCATCAGAAAGAATGACTTCATCTTGAATCTGCATTAACCTCAGAAGTGTCAGTGCAACAAACCAGGCTGCTTCACTCATCAAACACAAGTACATGTGAAAAGGATAATACACTTAAAATGGGTAGAAGGGTATGGCAGAAAAGTATGCACAAATATCACTCTTTTAAGATATTTTCAGATGTTAAAAACATTTTTATCAACAGTAACAGAAACAAAACAGATTCACTATTTGACAACTTTTAAGAACTTCCACAAGGCACGCTGGAAGCACACGCAGAAGCTAATATGGCACAGCAGTTTATAACTTTCAGCACATGCAATATTGATATACCATGGATATTTCCAATTTACATATGCCCTGCAACTTGAACATAAAGATAATCGTACTCATCCAAGAACATATTAATAATCTTGAATGGAAACAAAAAACCAGTCATTAGGCTATTGCATTTGTTCCACCAACATTGATGGACTAAATAAACATAATTGGCATCCTATCAAACATAACTTGTGTTTTCCTACTTAACAGTTTTGAATGTCAATTACACAAGGACCAGAACTTGTCACAACAATTAACATCCAAAAGGGGTAGATACAGTACAGGCATAACGGAGGCAATACCTTAGCGACATTTTGGAACTTACTGATATTTATGAGGAAAAAGCTCTCTATATAAGCACATTAGGACAATCTTGCTTGCTATTAGAATTTTATTTTTGAATAATGCTGACACTTTAATGTGTATAGTTATCATGAATTTAATTTTTTTCACTATAACTGAAAGTATAAATTTATTTTCAAGAAAATGAAATATTGTGTACTTAAATAAACTATAAAATTTTAAGTCAAGTTTAGCCATTCAGTAAGTCCAAACATGATTATCTTTATTTCATTAAATAAGTTTTATTTATGTTAAAGGTTTTAAGGGAAGCTATAATCATCAAACTATATATTTATTTCAAACCTATCGTTTTTATTAATTAATCATTAGAAAATTGTGTAAATAAAAAAACGTTTCATCACTTAAAATTTAATATAATTGAAATTAATATAGAACTCAACTATTATACCAATTGAGTTTGAAATAAAATGAATCCTTAATACAGTGAAAAAGGTGAACTAGAAATATAATTGCATCCATCAGTACAATCTCCCAAATGTAACATTGGATCAGCCACCTATATGAACTCAAAGTATCAAATCAGATCCATGACGCAGGTTCAAATTTATATGTATATGGTTAACATTGCTTAAGAACACGCCTGCAAATCGTCATCATTGATGGAAATAACTACAAAAAGTTTGATGCTCTAACAAAAAATATGCTAAAACTCATAGAGCATAATCAAATATGCAAAGATATGGAGGACATACACAAATTTCAAGCCCTGAGACAAATATTTTAAAATATAATCAAAGAATTTCGCAACACATTTCGCAGTACATTGAAATACCTTCAATCGCTGAGATAAATCCTTAAAACCTTGAACAAGCTGTGGCCACAATCGCTCTCTATCAGCACTTTCCATGCCTTCAAGTTTTGCCATAGCCTCAGCCCACATTATCTGGCAATGCAAACTATTAATCCGTACTTAGTGTAGAATCCGATGAAAAAAAGACATACAAAGATATGAAAATTCTTCGGACGTAAAAACACGTTATACGGAACTCACATCCGACACACCAGCAGGTTTCGCCCTATATTGAGGATCAGTTACACTGAACAACAAACGCTGCAAAATAAACACAAATATCAACTTCCTAGCAACTGGAAATGATGAATACACAACTTTCTAGAACTTAAAAGAAAGTTTATAATATTCTTCCTCACGATTATCAATTCTCAAGTGTAAGCTAGGGTAAAAACACAAAGGCACTACGATTCCAGTCGAGAAAAGGAATACAAACCTTGAAAGCATACTTAGGGTTTCCTGCGTCGTCCTTGTAAGCCTCAACAATTGCCTGATGCAGACAATAAAAAACAAAATAAACGGCGCAGACACAGAAGGAGAAAGGAGATATTGCTAGTTCTTGCCAGTTACTTTCAGAAACGTACTTGAATATCTCGATCTGCCATGGAGAAAGGAAGCGGTGCCACCGGGGCCATCTGAGTGGTCAATTGAGCATTTGGAAATAGACTGGACTGAGGCGCTGCAAACGGAGTCTGGAAACCAAATCCTGTAGCTGCTGGTAGCTGAAACAACGGCGATTGCTGCTGCTGCTGTTGTGAAGGCTGAGAAGAGAAAGGAGTGGAGAAAAGAGACGAGCCGAAGCCGGTAGCAAAAGACGACGAAGATGGAGTTCCAAAAGCAGGAGTTGATGAAAAGTTTCCAAATGCGGGGGACGCCGATGGAGTTCCGAAGGCCGGAGTGGACGCCGGCGTGCCAAAGGCCGGAGTTGATTGTGGAGTGCCGAAGGCTGGAGTTGATTGTGGAGTGCCGAAGCCCGGAGTTGATTGTGGAGTGCCGAAGGCGGAGGAGGAGAGTTGAGCTCCAAACATTGTGCTTGCAATGGAGAGTGAAAGAGAAACCCTAATTGGTTTCAAAGGGAAAGCGCCATTTGAGAGTAGAAACTCGTGCCGACAAGGTGCCTCTCTCAGATATTCAGAGTCGGGGGGTTCAAGTGAGAACGATGGGGCACTGAACCCTTTTGCCGCATCTTACTTTCCGGAAATTTTAGACATATTTGGGAATTATTTTTTTAAAATAAAAATATAAATATAAATTTCTGCCAAAAAAAATTAACCTTTATAATTATTTATTCAATTAAAGTATATATTTATTATGATGAATTAGCTAATTAAATTAATATCATAGCAAAGGTATCTATATATATATATATATATATATATATATATATATATATATATATATATATAGAAAATTTATTACTGTAAATTTAGTTTTCTCAAAAGTTTTAAAAAAAAAATTATCATCTGGCATGTAACTCAATGGTTCTCCCCTCCCCGGTATTGCAAGGTTAGCTCGAGGATTGTCTTGCTCAGATGAAGGAGGCTTTATTTGATAGAGTTGTGGTTATATTATTTATGGTAGGAAAAATTCATGATTATTTAGTGTAATTTTAAACAATATGATATTCAAGAGGATCATGTTCGAGTAACAACTTAGAGGGTGTATAGTATATGAATAAAATTTGATGTCTTATCAAGTTATCATTATTAATATAATTTAGTTTGTAATCATAAATTATTACCCAATGTTACAATTCATGTTATACTAAAGAAGAATGAAATACATTTTTTCCTTTAAAAAAAAAAAAAAAAAAAAACTTTAAATTACACGATTCATGTCAAGGTGCACAAAGTCGGCCACCTTAAAATAACTATGGATGAATTCTACCCAAATTGATAAGGGCCAACAGATGTTGAATTTTGCAAAGTTAGAGGTTATTTCAGTATCATTGTAAACTTTCACAAACAAAAGATTTCAACCAAGAGCAGGTTAGAAAGATGGATAATTCTTAGATTGAACTTGGAATCTATGATAGTCACTCTTAAATCCCAAGATGACTCACTCCAAAATGAGCTTAATCATGACCAATCCAATAAATCAAATTTAACATCAAACCTAAAAAAGTTTGAAAGAAACATAACATCTTAAGGGTTTCAAACACAAATATTGTCCTCTTTAGACTTTCTCTTATGAGTTTTCCCTCAAGGTTTTAAAATGCTGTCTACTATAAAATGGTTTCCACACTCTTTAAGAATGTTTCGTACCCCTGTCTAACCGATGTGGGATCTCACAATCCACCTCTCTTCGGGGTCCTGCATCCTCGTCGGCACTTATTTCCCTCTCCAATCGACGTGAGATCTCACAATCCACCCCCCTTCAAGGTCCAACGTCCTTGCTGGCAATAGTTCCACTCTCCAATCGATGTGGGTTCTCACAATCCACCCCCTTTAGGGCCTAGCGTCCACGCTGGTACTCATTCTCCTGCCCAATCGATGTGGGTTCTCACAATCCACCCCTTTTAGGGCCTAGCATCCTCACTGGCACTCATTCTCCTCTCCAATCGATGAGGTTCTCACAATCCACCTCCCTTCAGGGCCCAACGTCCTCACTGGCGCACACCGCCCAATGTCTAGCTCTAATACCATTTGAAACCGCCCAAACCAACTGCCAACAAATATTGTCTGCTGTTGGCTTTCTCTTCTGATTTTCCCTCAAGATTTTAAAAAGCGTTGGCTAAGGAGAGGTTTTCATACCCTGATGAATGCTTCATTACCCTCTTCCACCAATGTGGGATCTCACAATCCACCCCTTTTGAGGTCCAGCATCCTCACTGGCACTCATTCCCCTCGACGTTGGATTTCACAAATATGGACTGCAAAGTCCCCTAAGTGCCATTTCCAACCCTTAGAGTTAATCACATGATAAATCCAAAGAAGAACTCACGATCCACACAAAACATATAGCAGAGTTCCTTTAGAAACTCAAGTGCACAAAAGAGTGCACGAATGCCCAATTTCATAAGAAAGTAGACTAACTTCAGAGCCAAGCTATATTCCACCTTGAGCATAGCAAACAATGTACATAAGACCAAGAGACAGGAATGTATGAATAATGAAAATTTGCAATGCATTCCTGGATTTAATGGGGTGCGGATGACAATCTGTAAATGCAACATTCATCCTCTAGATGAATGAATTCAGTTTAGTTTCAAAGTGCTCTTCACATTCATATGATAACAGTCACAAATCCTTAACAACCAAGGAAGAAAAGCAGACAATTAACTTAAAATTATGATGATTTAATCTATTTTAACAATCAACTGAAAATCAATAGCGGAAAACCAAAAAAGAGAAATGTATGTATCAGGAATTTGGGGACATTAGGAATCCAACGGTTCAAACTGTGTGTTAATACGAGAACAAAGTCAAATCAAACAGACGTACTTCTTAGTTGGTTTCTTCTTCAAAACCGCAGGCTCCGGCTGCTGCGGCTTAGGGTATTTTTCAGCCACACCAGGATCCAACCATTTGAGCGGGTGGAGATTAAAGAAAGGCCAATTCGGAACAGTAATCAATGTGGTGAGAATCACACCGCCGGCGTAAACCAAGATCATCATCCGAAACGATCCCATAACATAGCCAGTCGAAAAGGCCGCCACGGCAAATGCAAGCAACATAATCTGCATCATCTGCTCCGCACGCTTCTGCCCTTGCCAATCCATCTGAAGTATGGAAAAAAAAATGTAATAAAATCTACAGATCGAAACCAGCGGAGGGGCGTAGAACATAATTCGTCGATCAAAAACAGGTAGTCAAGGAAAATTACTGAGAATTCGAAAGGAAGATTTAACTGTAATGAAAAGACCTACCTACTTGGAAAAAGGGAAATCGTTTCATAGCGCTATGAGCAAAGATTCAAGAAGATACAAACGAAAATAAAGGGAATCAGAGGAATCATAGAGAGAACGAGTAGCAACCTGTAGGCGAAATTGGAGACGACGATGTGCAGACCAAAGGGTAATGATCCGCCGGAGGAAATGAGCAGAAGAAATACGTCAATTGTTTTGAGAAATCAAACGAAGAGCGGTATGTATTTAACGGTCCTGATTCGGAAGAATTTAGATGTAAGATCTCAGCCGTCCGCTGAATTCGCGCATCTACTCGACTGAACAAACAGTAAAAAGAAAAAGAAAAAGAAAAAGAAAAAGAAATAGTAAAATTACCTTTTTGTCCCCGAGTTCGTTTGGTTTTGAGGTTTCATCCGATTTTTTCTTTAAAATAATATTTTATTAAAAAATAAATATATAAAAACTTTATTTGGTTTATGAATTTATATTTTATTGGATTCAAATAAATAAAAAACTTTATTTATTAAATTGTTCATGAATTTTTTCTCAAATTAGATTAAATTAAACAAATTTCTTATTAATTCTAGATATACGTTTATGATATATTTATTTATACCGTTAATTATTTATTATTTATTCTCCACCCCATCTTTAAAATAATTTTTTAGCTATTTGAAGTTAGTTTTCAAGGATATATATTAATATTAAGTCACAAATTTTAATTAAACATTTGAAAATAAATAAATAAATAGTTTAAGAAATAATATTCTAATTTTATTAAAGATAAAAATAAAAAAAAAAACAAAGTAACATTTAGTTTTATTAAAAAAAAAAAAAAAAAAAATAATAATAATAATAATAAATAAATAAAATGATATTGTCAATTTGAGCATAAGCTTTGGAGAGATTATAAACTCCCTCACACCAATGGACATAGTATTTTTTAATTATAAACTCATAATTTTTTAGCATAAGCTCTCGTGTTTGCTTTGGGATTCCTAAAAGGTCACAACCAAATTTAAGCCTCACACATATAATAAAGTTTGATTATAAACTCATTCATTTTCTAAATTAGAAAAAAGCCAAAATTATTAATTTAAAAATTTTAACATCCTTTCCGGTCTAAAAGAGATTGAGATGACATTTTCAATTGAAAAACATAAAAATATTACATATATTTTCACAAAATCTTCCTCTCCCACCTCCACCTCCACAGTCCACGTTCTTTGAAACCATATTCTTATTTCAAATTAAACAAGGGAATTTCTATAATTCAGCATAAAGCATAAAAGATCTGGAGTATTGGGATTTCAAACAATGAACTAAACACAGAGGGAGGTTAAAAAGGAAGTAAAGATTTGAAGAACTCTTGGCTTAAAAGGGAATAAAAATCCAAAATGAACATGATCGAGGATCCCATAAACTAAAAAGTTAAAGAGGCATTGGATACCGAACAACTCGTTCTAGTATTTGACTTAAGCAACCAAACTCTGCTTTAAAACAAAAAAAGAAGTACAAAATGCGGCAATAATATTGGATCAGGATGAAGCACCACTGCGGAGAGCTTGACCCTTCTTGCTTTTACTCGTTGCCAACTGGGTCTCAGGCTGCCACCACAAAACCAAGCATTTATGAACAACCCTTTCCTAAACACCAATAATATACACAAATCTAATACAAATTTTACCTCTTTCTTCACAGGTTCTTCCTTTTCTGACAAAATAAGCTCGATGTGGCATGGAGATGACATATAGGCTGCACAAGAAAAAATAGACACCAAACGTTCCAGATAGTTTATGCAATGATCAAACCAGAAACAATTTAGTGTTGTTCTTTTTGAGATCTTAAGAAAAAAACATACGGTTAATTCTTCCATGAGCACGGTAGGTTCGACGTCTTTGTTTTTGTGCTTGATTCACCTGGATGTGGGATACAATGAGAGAATCAACGTCCAGTCCTTTCACCTGAATGAAGAAGATACCATAGTCAGGTGAGAAGCAGTGTTATCGAAAAAAGGGACGACATACGTAACTAGGAGAGAAGATCCTACATACTTCGGCATTACTCTCGGCGTTCTTAAGAAGATCTAGAATAAATTTTGCAGACTTAACAGGCCAGCGTCCTTGTCCATTTGAGTGCCTATTTTTTGCTTGAGCAGTTCGACCAACTCCTCCACAGAAACGTCGGAATGGAATAGCCTGCTTGTGGGCAAGAACATCCTCCAAATACCTCTTCGCCTTGGCCAAGGGCAACTTCCTAAGGGCATGCGCAGTCTCTCTTGTATTCTACAGACAAAAACAGATGGTGGATGCAATTAGTTAATGCACAGATAAAAAAACAAGTTCATGCACGATGAGAATGTTAATTGTTACACTTAGATAACATTCTACGCGATAAGCTATATTATTCGTGTAGCATCATTTACTGAACCTTTAGCAACTAGCTTTACAGAGGTTCACCCAATAACAATGCATTCAGTTTCCCTGAATTTGACGAGAGCCACCATTCACAAAAGGCAACAGAGCCCTGCTTTTTTTAAACAGGTATATTTCATCAAGATAACTCCTAGGGTTTCAAGTAACTGATAGCAAAATGTTGATACCCCACTTATAAAAGCCTATCTAGGTTCACTTCTTTAATGCATATATCACTTTATTTTCTGAAATTTCATGTATAACACCTTTTTGAACACTATGCTATAGTAAAATTGTAGCACAATTTACTGAACCTTCAGTGATAATTACTACAGAGGTTCACCCAATAACCATACACTTAGTTTCCCTGAAGTTTACGAGAGCCCAGTTCACAGAGGCAACGAAGCCCTGCTTTTTTCATCAGGAAGTCCAATATCAGAATATCCTCCATAAATGTGGTAAATTTTTTCCAATTTCTACATAATATTTAGTATGTATAATATAAGATTATTTTAATAAATGGTCATAAAAATTTTTTTACTAACATTTAACCTGTGTTCTTCGAGTCAAACAAGAAAAGGCCTATCAGCAATAAAAATTTAGGTTCCAAGGACCATCATCGATATAAACTTACAGACAGTAAATACTATAAGGCTTATGTTGCATCATTTACTGAACCTTCAGCAATTAGAACAACAGAGGTTCACCCAATAACGATACATTCAGTTTTCCTGAAGTTTACGAGAGCACTATTCACAAAATAGGCAACAGAGCCCTGCTTTTTTCATCAGGTTGGTTACAAACTTACAATCAGCACCAGATAATTATCAAATGCACAACATAAAGTAAGATAGTGCAAAATTATAAATCTTATAAGCATAATCCAAAAACTATCAACCATGACAGCAAGCAGCAAAGATTATGTAGCATCATTTACTGAACCTTTAGCAATTATTTATACAGAGGTTCACCCAATAATGATCCAATTCGATTTTCCTGAAGTTAAAAAGAGCACTATTCACAAAATAGGCAACAGAGCCCTGCTTTTTTCATCAGGTTAATATCAGACAGTCATAAAATAATCGCATTCACGACATCAAATATTGTAGATGGCATTACTCTTAATCCAAAACATTAACAGCTATAAATGAATACATGTATTAAAAATCTACATATTTGCACAGAATTGGCGGGTTTTCATTCAACGAAGAAGAACAATGAAATGAGAAAGCAGTTAAAGCAGCTAAGTTACCTTGAAATGGACTCTGAGGTCGGAGCCTCGAGCTTTGCAGGCTGAATATATATTATAAACCAAAATTATTAGATTCTGAACTTCTAAGTTACTAACAGAACCTCAGAAATATTGCAAATCATACAACTGCATAACGAAAATCAATATGAAACAAAAAAAAAAAAAAAAAAATACAAATTAAGAAGAACAAACTTACACTTGGTGATGTTATCCGGCTCCCTTGAGTACTTGACCTGTAAAAGGGAACATTAACATAAATCTGAATTCAGAAACTTGCTAAGCTTGTGGAATTTCAAGCATTGTACAGATAATAAGAAGTGAAAAAGGAGATCGGAACGCTGAAAGAGGAAATGTACCATGGCGGCGGATGCTAATTCTTCACCTCTCTGAACCAGATTGAGTCCCTCCTGCAAGCAAGAGTACTAGGAAGACGAAATTCGAGTTTCTTATAGTAGAGAAACCCTAATCGTGAACCGCTGAACATGGACTTTATATTGGGCCAGGCTTACACGGCCCACTATCATTTTCCCTCTATCCGTTATTTATATATATATATATATATATAATTTTAATTAAATTGAAAATGAATTTTATACTTATAATTCTTTTTTTCTTTTTTTTTTTTTAAAAAAAACCTCATTTTAATAAAACACTTGCAAATAAGATTTATTCAATTTCTCCCAACCAAATTTATAATTTAACTTCAAAATTTTAAATTTTGATTATTATTTATTTATCTATGTGTGACACTATTTTAGCTCAATAACTCCATCTCGAGTCAAATTACACGAGAAATAAAATTTTATATCAATGTATTGTTGCGTCCATGCATAATAACGCTCTTGTATAGCTTAGTGGTAGAACTATTATCACATGATATGGTGAGACACTTGTCAAAACCGAGAGGTAATTATCACGAACTCTACTTTAATAGTGGGGGAGAAATCTCAGTCTATTTTAAACCCTAAACTTCTAAAAAAAATTCATGTGAATAAGGAAAAAACATGTTGGAAGGACTCGTGTTGGTCTGTTATGATAGTTTTCAGTCTTAAGAAGAAAGGAATAAATAACATGATTATGTTATAGGGAATGTAGGGGAAAGTCAGATTGTCGGGGCCATCTCATGGTGACCAACTAAACTCTTATACTTTTTAGTTGGGTCAGGTCAAGTCGAGTCATGTCGTCTTCCCTTCATCAATAATCTCTCTTCTCTCGACTTTCTCGTCTTGCAATGAGTGCAGCTCTCAAATTTAGTTGTCAACGATTATGATTGAAACCTTTATTGAGCTAATTTAGAAAATGATCATAGGTTTATAAGTAAGGAATATATTTCCATTGATAATTGTGAAGAGTCAATATCATATCATTGTGCAACCGAGAGACTTAATAGTTTAAAAAAAATTCAAAATAGATTTTCAAAAAAAAAAATCTACCATTAAAATAAGATTATTTACTTGCAACTCTTCGTGGGCCTCGGAAAGCAGGCCCACGGATAGTTGTGCTATTACATTAAAAAAACTGTAAACCCTAAATCCTAAACCCTAAAACGTGTTTGTTGCATTATTTACGTTAGATATTTTAAAAAATCATCGACATTTTTCAATTTCATGTACGAAAATTTGTAGCTTTTTATATGGATAAGGATGAAAGATTTCTTTGTCCACCATATCTTTGGTAGGACATATTATAATAAAGTAGCACATTAAATGTCCTAACAAAATCACCAACACTGCATCCCACAAGCCATCAACGAACCGTCAGTTTCATGTGAAACCTAAGTTTGTTTGGCTACATACATCACTCGTACATGCATGTTCAATCGTCTGCGACTCTATCTAACTTGCCTCTATACTAGGCCAAATCATCCGACTTGATGTTGCCTCTATTCGAGTCCAAGGTCTCTCACATATAACATTGCATCTCATATTCTCATCTTGGTTCTCAATAACATGACATTCACGTCATGATATCATCTCAAGTTCAAAATGTCATCGACCATTGTAGCTTTCATCCATCTCGGTTCTATCGACGCATGTACCCTTCTCGTATCCACGCTAAATCATTTACGAACTCTGTACCTGATAGTTAGTGCATATATCAACCTTTAACACATGGTCTGTGGTGCAATGTCTGCACACCCATGTCGTTTGACACTGTCTTTGAAGACTAATTTCAAAGAAAGTCATCTGAGACACTCGTCTTGCAACACTCGGCCTTAGTGTGACACAATATGTGTCACAAGGTAACTCACTTAGGTCACAAGGTCTAGGGATGGTGGAGAGCTGACACTATGCCTCCTCCTAAGGTACATTCTGAGGTATTTTTTAGTATGGTAGAAGTAGACATGATTTTGGTGAACGGTCATACGGTCTTGTGGACTGTCTGTCCAGTGTCTGATTGACACCAAATTTAACGAGCTTCAAACTTGACTCTAGAGTCGCATGCTCAAGCTCCTTTTGGAATCCAAACTTTCGAGGTTAAGGCTCGGGGCCCTAACTGGCCCTTTATTACGTCTATCCTTGACCCTTTTGTCTACTTGTTTCCTCTATTTTGTTTATGGGTTAGTTTGACTCGAATGCACATCTATTTGATATGTTAGATGACCGTCCTCCTCGGTCGCATCATGACACTTTTGACGTTAAGCTACACACCCCAACTATTTTGAGCTATTAAAGCAATTATTATGTGAATCGTATCCCACATGGTCACAACTGCAAGCACTCGATATAATCAATGTAATGATGTCATCGGTACTCTTTTGCCACCAACCGACCCTTTACTTTTCAACCTCCCCATTTTCATTTAATTTAGTTTCAGAAATTCACGTGTATTTCAACCAAATTGATAGGTACAACTTCTAAATTTATGTGAGTAAGAAAAGAAAGATTGATCCCTTGCCCTTGAGGCTTCTCAGCCGCAAGAACAGGGAACGAATCCTCCAAAAATGGAATGTGTTCGTAATGACTACCACAATTAGCTCCCTCATCACTGACGACTATTTTTTCTTGGTGGGAGTGAACGATGTTTTTTTTGGCGTTCCTTTCTGACAAGCATGAGAGCGATGGTTTTTCAAGATTGGTGGGTTGGAGAGGGAAATGAAGCATTTCTTATAAGGGTGTGAAAATCTCTCTCTAACAGACGCGTTTTAAAATTGTGAGGTTGATGACGATACATAACGGACTGAAGTAGACAATATCTATTAGCGTTGGATTTGAAAAGTTACGATTTCCCCACTCACATAATTATTTAATCATAAATAATAATAATAATAATAATAATAATAGTTTTTGTACAAGCATTTGAAATTATGCCCAAAATATATTTTTAATTAATTAATTATCTAATTCAAATAATTTAAATGTTTTTAAAATTAAATTTTTATGAATGTTACCAACTAAACCTCATATTTTGTAAATTTTTAATAATTAATGCAATTTCCATTTTTTTTTATTTTTTATTTTTTTTTGTAAATATTATTTATTTGCAACTATGCATGGGCCTTAAAAATTACTCAGGCCCATTTGTCGCTATTCTATCACATTAAATTTGATTTTTGTCGTATTATTAAAGCTATTAATTTAACTCATAATGGTTGGTGTCAATAAATCTTGACTACTATCTTTTCATCCCTTTAAAATATTTTTTTTGATTATTATTTAAAAATATCAACCATCTTTTACATTTACACGTATTTAAAAAAGAAGAAAAAAAAAAGTGAACACGACCTTTCGAGTTCAGAGAAACATGAATTGAGTTTGTGGAGCTCTTGTTTATGATTTTCAGGCAATAATCAACGTCGTGATAGTACCAGGTCAGTATGAGAAATAAAACTCAATTCTAAAAGATTCGTAATGTCATTTCATTGAGGGGAACGATCCCGTGCTTGTTAAGCTACTAGCTTCATGTGGTCCCTCACCCATTCTAAAAGCGTTTTGAACAAGAATAGTTTAGGATCCATTAATTGTACCCACATAAGGTCTCTTTATAACACTATAATTTAGGACACGACTTTGCTACCCATTAATTGTACCCACATGAGGTCTCTTTATGACACTATAATTTAGGACACGACTTTGTTGCTCCATCTCTTGGTAGATCATTATGGATAATTGTAGTCCCATACTCTTGCGATAGGTTCACTAATTGGAGCTACTGGCTTAATTACCAATCTTCATATTGTTATACAACTCGTTAGGAGTGACCTTCGTAACTATTGTCACACCACAAACGCTCGCCCCTCTTCAAAGTAAGTTCATGATTAAGGGTGAACGGGCGAGCTCGTTCATCGTCCCTATTATGAGATTCTTGTGAATTTTTGTGCTACATACTTCTTAAATTATTGGCCATGTTTATTATATTGTTATGTTTTATGTCCGTGAGATATTATGACATACCATGTACCATAAACATACCTGTTAGCTACAATATTATAAAAACTAAAATTTTATTTTGTTTAAAAAATATATGTAATTTTCAAAATTTTCAATAATACCATTAAATTAAAAAAATAAAAAAAATATCATTGAATTTACAAAAACTACATTAATATCTTTCTAATTAAAAAAAAAAAATCTTATTATTAATATCATATTTAAAAAATATCCATAAAAACAGCGTTTGAATCTTTATAAAAAATTAATTATTGTCAATATAAAATAAAAATAGTTTATTAATATTTCAAACTTTTTAATATTATTCTCATAAATTAATTGTAAATTAAAAGGATATTTTTGAAATAAATATTAAATTTCTCCAAAATCTAATAGTAAATAAAGACCCTTTTAAAAAATATGGACAAAGTGCAACCGGTTATTATTTTTTATTTATTTATGAATTTAGCTATATTATAAATAACCCCCTGCGTACCAAAAACGTCACAGTAAGTCACTAGTTGCAAGCATCCACCTCGTTTCTTGCAGAGCAGTCATGGCCGACGATTCTAAGAACATCCTCCAGTGCCCTGCTCTTCTCCAGGTTCGTTCCAGTTTCTAACTGAAACATGTCCGTGATTTTATTTCAATTCTGAGGACTAATTAATAATCTCTGCACTGCGCCTTCATTACGTTAATTACTAGCGATTGTTCTAAGATGAATTAATTTAATCAAACACTGTTCATAAAAATCGCTGAAGATTAGAGAAGTTTAGAGCACCTGTATTTGATTGCAGTATATACTGGAAGAGAATTCGTATCCGAGAGAGCACGAACAGTTGAAGGAACTCAGGGAAACCACGTTAGAAACGTTAAAGTCCCGGTGAGATTTCGATTCTTCTTCCGATTTAGATTTTTGCGATTTCAATCCGTTTGGATTCGATTAGGAAAGACTTAGAACGATCGATTCGGCTGGATTGAGTTCGATAATCGTGTACGAGAGTGTTAAATGATTTTGGAAGGAAATTTGGGGATTGAGTTGCAGGAGCGTGATGAGCGTACCGGCGGATCAAGGATTGTTTCTTTCAATGCTTCTGAAACTGATGAACGCAAAGAAAACGATA